AAGTATATGGGGACTATGTATTCCCAAAGAGTTTAAAATGTTTTCACATTTAAATAAGAACGGAAACTGAGATTTTCAAAGAGCTTTTGAGCTAGTTTTCATAAAAGAGTAATCGCTTTCTAAATGAAGCAAGAGAGGAAACCTTGATTTCCAAGATAGCCTTTGAGCTAAGTATTTGAGCAAATATCTGAAATCACAGAAAGAAGTATGTTTTTAAACATAAGAGTTGGTATCATATTTTGGGGGTAGTATTGAGCACCGATATGGGGGAGAGTTCAGACTACTCATAGCCCCCATAAACCATGTAGTCATCATGGGTTAAAAAGGGTCATGCTTTTTAGATGATTCATTTAGTGCTTTTTAGCATAGATTAGTGGATCTACATAGTAGTTCAGGTTCTATACCGTCGGCAAGGTATAGGACGGCCCTGGCAGTGTGAGGTAAAATGATGTATCATCACAATAGCTCTTACGTGATGGTTGTCGGTTAGAGAAACTCCCACAGAAGTAATTGTATTCTTAAATACACAGTTTGTTTGTATTTTTACATACATCTCAGAGTTATATGTATCTTTGCATACACACATAATTGACATTATGTTTTACACAGCTTTTCTTTATATTGCACTTGTTTTAAACTGATTTATATTGAAATGAGTTTAGTTATGTTGAGTTGAGTTGAGCCAGGTAAGTTCTTCATATTCCTTTCAAGCCTACGCTGTGTTTAGCATTCCAACTCGCATACTCGTACATTCAATGTATTGATGTCAGTTGGCCTGCATCTTATTATGATGCAGACACAGGTAACTATGATCGGCATCCGCGCATCGTTGATCCAAGGAGCACTCCAGAGTCAGTTGTTGACTCCTTTTATTGCTTTTAGTTATTTTATTAGTTCATTAGGATGTCGTGGGGTTTGTCTCGATATCCATCTCAATTGTTTTAGAGGCTTCATAGACAGTCAGATGTTAGTTCTTTAGTCTTTTCATTGTCATTATCTTATGTTAAGACTTGAGTTTGCCTTAATGGCCAAATTGAATGTTCCATTATAACATTCCAGTTTATTACATAGACTTGTCTTTGTTGAATTAAGTCTTCCACTGAATAAATAAGTCAGGCCAAGGGTTCGCTTGGGGTTAGCAATGGTTCTCGAGTGCCAGTCCCGCCCGGGGTGTAGGCTCGAGGCGTGACAGTAATGAGTAAATATTTCATTAAATTTAGTTTTGTATCAATAAAGTCATTCAAATTATGACTCTCTTCTAAGAAAATTTGTCATGCTTCAACGTCCTACATTTTAGGCGGAATCAGCACCCGATTTGATTGTTGACATGAGTGTATCCATAACATGGCATGAAACATTGAGAGCATACGTCTAGATATGAGCACAAAACACGATTCAAAGAGTATTTTAAATTATATAATTGTTGGAAGCTAGTTATACTAAGTATTAATCATGCATCTATAAAATTAATAAGACGTTTGGTTAGCAATTCAGAAACTCGCTTAACTAATACATATACATATATGTTATGAGCGAATTGGTATTTATCTTATACAGGATATATAAAATGAAATAACTAATACTGATCACATAACTAATACATGCATAATTCTAATTAACCAGCTACTAAACGATCCTTGAGTGTTGCGTTAAGTATTATTAACTCATACTGATGTACAAGTCACGATTCTAACATAAAGAACATTTAATATATAGAAAATTAATTACTTGAAAAAAAATCATAAATTAAACCATATATATATCGTACCGTCTTTGGAACGCGCATCCGGGCTACATTTATATTTCAGTACTATAGTAGTATGTAAAAATTAATGACCACTAAGCTAAAGATAATAGTGGAGGAATACTTTGTTCATTCCTAAAGTAATTTGTTTTAGTCTCGACTTACACCAATTATCGTGCAACCTAATAATTTGATAAGTTTATAAACTCTCCATCAATAGAAAGGAAGAGAAAATGGTGCGTTTGACATTTCAAAATGATGTTGAGATGAGTCACTTAAATATATCAAATATGACAATGAGTTTCTAATGAAAACTTATGAAACACGTATAAATGATCATAGTAAACTCCTTGAATAGATTGTGACTTGTTATAAGCATCGTGAAATCCATTCCAGAAAGTGATTGTATCAAAATGTAATAAAAATATGAATAAGAACATATTATATTCAAGCTGTTGAATGTTGTAAATCTCTTCATCATCCAAAACTCCAAAAATGTTGTAACAAATAGGGTGTCCTTGATTATCAATTCCACTCATGTAAGCAGCTGAATCAAGATCTGACCCCGCAAAAATGGCAGCCTTCACTTTAGCAATCGACCCTTCGCTTAAGCGAAGGACGCTAAAGCGAAAGGCCCATTTCAAATGTGAAGGTCACAGAACTCAAGCATCAGAAAATTCAGCCAATTCACAAATAATCGAATTGACCTTCGAAATTCGTGCGAGATCCCGTATACACAAATCATATAAGCAAATTGACTATACTCGACGTTTCGGACTCCATGAAACCGTCGAAATAAGAATTTGAGGTCTCTTTTATATGACAACCGTGAAAGTCACAAGAAATGAACGTAACGCCTAAAAGGTCAAATCAAGCTCAGAAACTCTAAAATTTTAACCAAGACCTCGCCTAGTCCTTAAATCATCCCCCGAATCCAATGGAATTTGCGGAATTTCGATACGAGCATTTGAACCCCGAATGTTTACCAAAGTCGACCCAAACGCTAAAAATTTCCACAATTTTCCAACTTAGGACCTCAAATCCTCAAAAAGACTTGGAATATGAAATCGACAACTTTCATTGACGGATTTTCACATTTTGGGACCGATGGAATTGTTAGAATTCCATTTCGACACTCGAAACTCCTAAAGACTCTGAAAATCACTATATATTAAGCAACTTTAGTCTTTCAAACACAAAACTTATAAAATTCACAACTCTTAACTCAACACTCGAAGACAACTTTTAAAACTCAATCAAAAATGACTCGGGGACAATATTGGGAGGGGCAAAACGATTATTTTATAAAGATCTCCAAAAATGACCAACTGGGTCATTACAGTATGAAAAAATTACGAGGTCTCATGTTCAAGTTTGAGTGAAAGCAAAAAATATTTATTGATTTCATCTCATATATCTAAACTTACTAATACGTGAAGAAAAATTTTATTTTGAGCGAGGTACAACCAACAATAGTTATATGAGGATCCACTCACTTTTTAACACATGAAATTGTGGGCCCAATTTGTCCTTTAAATCTGCTAAAGAAATCAAAGGAGAGAGAATGTAAATTTTGATTGAAAATTAAAAAGAAAATGTGGGGTCCACGCCACATTCCATTAAATATATTAGTAAAATATTGAATTAAATGTGATTAATATATCAATTTTTTCAGTGCTCTTTCTTATTTTTGTTATTCGAATTTACACATGCAGTTACATGGTGTTTGCATTCAAAGTCAAGATCCAAACAATCCAAAAGAAAATGTTGATATCAGTGGGAAGAGAATTCAATATAACACCTAAGCACAATAGATTTTATTTTTGAAAATTATATCTGTAATTTAGTAGTTAATATGTGTGTAGCAAGTGATTTTTGGTATTTTGACATTAGAAATGACAGGTAAAAAGATCTTCTTCCAACAACTTATACATTCGTTTCAAATATCAATTAAATCAGACTATTTACTGATAATCTCTTTAACACACTATCTTCTTAAAGACTGAAAATCATTATGCTAAAAAAATTCATACATGAAAAATATGGACAACGGAAAATTGCAGACGAAGATTAAAGTTATTGAACAAGATTTAGAGGGAAGAATCAACATCAATATCAACTTTTCAAGTTTTTAAGCATCAACACCCTATCAACTTTTTTTGCCATTAACAAGATCCCCAACATTGAAACACCAATCTTCATGAAAATTGCATGTTTAATTTCAAAAGTTGACATGCAGATTTTTAGTGAAATAAATTTAATGTAAAAGAATGTAAACTTTTTTTTTATGTTCAAGAAGAAGAAGAAAAATTAGAAAAGAGTGCTAGAATTTGTTGGAATGTGTGACAATTGAGCTCCACAATGCACATTTAATCCAATATTTTACTAATATATTTAATGGAATGTGGCATGGACCCCACATTTTCATTTTCATTTTTAATCAAAATTTACATTCTCTCTCCTTTGATTTCTTTAGCAGATTTAAAGGACAAATTGGGCCCATAATTTCATGTGTTAAAAATCGAGTGAATCCTCATACAATTATTGTTGGTTATACCTCGCTCAAAATAAAAAAAAATCATAGGAGATACTAGCCAAGCATCCAAATAAATAAAAATAATTTACTTAGGTGTGCGCAAGTCAATTCCAACCCCACCACCCAATCACAACTTCTTGTTATTGATCTCAGTATATATATAAACGATCAATTTGTATAAATTGTTCTATAATTAAGTCGTATACTTGTAACTATACTTAATTAACACCCTTACTTAAATGTTAACTATACTTAACACCCTTACTTAAATGTTAACTATACTTAACACCCTTACTTAAATGTTAACTATACTTAACACCCTTAATTAAGTCGTATACTTGTAACTATAATCAAGTTCTACACGCCTCATTTCTCAATAATATCACACAATATGGAAACGTTAAGCGGTATGAGTGCATTGAGGAGTCGTTTCGTAGCTAGTAAATAAAAAGGCAATTTATTCATGTATTAATTCCTCCATAAGTTATATAACATTTGGAAGCTAGTTATTAAGTATTATTCATCCATATATAAAATTAATATGCAATTTGATTTGCAATTTAGACACCGGCTTACCTAATATATTTACAAGTTATGAGCAAATCAATGTATTATCTTATGCAGTGAAAAATGAAATAACTAATACTCACATAACTAATACCTGCACCACACGAGTGTTGCATTAATTATTATTAACTCATACTCAGGTACAAGTCCACGAATTTATAACTTGAATAATATTCATAAATCAAACAATATATATCGTACATAATCTTTGGAACGAATCCTTGCTACATTTATTTTTCAGTACTATAGTAGTATATATAAATTAATTACCACTAATTAAGCTTAAGATAATAGAGGAGGAATACTTTGTTCATTCCTAAAGAAATTTGTTGGATCAAATTTAGTCTTCACTTTCACCAATCTATCAAAGTTGTTCTTGAAATATTTCACTCCCCAAATTCTTGCTTGTGCATAGCTTGTGTTTCCATTAATATTGTTCACCCCTAAATCAAGATCTCTATAATTGAAATAAGCAGCTCTAGGAGATTTTGATACATACTTAGCCATGTATCCATAAAGTTTTTGATTCCAAGCTAAGTTACTTTGAGAATTTTCAATATTTCCCCAATACACCGCATACTCAATCATGAATATATTTCCAGCTCTATGAGGGAAAGGAGTTTCAGATTCTGAGATGTCACTCAACTTTCCTCCATAAGGACTAAACTGTACTTCAGCACCCGAGTTTTCGCCTACTAATTGGTTGAATAGTTTCCATATACCTTCAAGACCATTAATAGAAATTGGTTGTTGGACATAGTCTGATTTCCCTTTGAAGAATCCGGTTTGATTAGTTGTGGTATTCCAATTTAGTAACACATCAAGTGATGTATTCCTAGGGAAATTGGCAAAGAAGAGAGTAGATTCAATCCAACTCATCTCAATGCAATCGTCTTTCACTAATCCTAGTTCCGGGAAGCTCTTTTGCATTTCGTGGAGGAGTTCATCCACTCCTCCAACGTACAGTGCAGTGAAAGAGGCGTGGATAGTCCTTTGCCCACCCCCGAATGGAAATTCACTATTTCTTATGAAGATCCTGAGGATGAGATTGTCACTAACTTTGTCTGCAATATGTTGCCACTTGTAAACAAGCTGAGTAACATTTTGTTCCAATGTTCGTGGCACATTGAACACGGTCACCTTTTTTGGAATATCGAGTAATTTCACTTTCCATGATATAATGAGACCAAAGCTAGTCCCTCCACCTCCTCTAATAGCCCAAAAGAGATCCTCACCCATCGATTTTCGATCTTGGATACGTCCATTAGCATCGATTAATTTTGCATCAATGATGTTATCAGCAGCAGTACCGAATTTTCGTGACATCATACCGTAGCCTCCACCACTAAAGTGTCCACCAACACCAACAGTTGGGCAAACCCCAGCAGTAAAGGCCAATTTTTTACTTTTTTCTGCGATTCTATAGTAAACTTCCCCTAGGGTGGCACCAGCTTGAATCCAAGCAGTCTTTTTTTGGGTATCAATGGATATTGATCTTAGGTTTCTAAGATCAATTACGACAAAGGGGATCTTCGAAATGTATGAAAGTCCCTCGTAGTCATGTCCACCGCCTCGAATTCTAATTTGTAGCCCATGTTTCTTGGAACAATGTATAGCTGCCTGGATTTGAGATTCATCATTAGGAGTGAAAATAATTGATGGTTTGAAGTTGGAGGTTATCCTTAGGTTACGATCTGAAAAGGAGTTATAAATGGTTGAATATGATGAGTTTTTAGGAGTGTGGATGACTTGTGATATTGTGTTTGAGTTCCTAATTTTGTGAGAAAGACATTCAACAAAGTACTCATCATGTGTGTTGTTGGCCCATGATGATGAAAGGCATATTGAGAGAAAAAGAAAGATTATTAACTTCTTGAAAGTAGTCATAATTGATTATCGATGATGGAGAAAATGGAAACTAACAACTTCTATTTATTATAGTCTTAGCTAGGAAGAAATTAAAAGAAGCTTAATTAGTTTAAAGCCCTAAGACCAAGTAATTATAGAATAATCTTTTAATAGTTTTAGAAAAAAGCAAAATTGAACTTTGCATACAGACAAATTTCGTGCAAGAAGTATTATATACTCATTCCAAAGACTAGTCAACTGTCATATCTGTTCATATAGAAGATGCACATGCTTCCTCATGCCTAACATGAGCTTTTATTTTTATACTAATTTTTCAATACGTGTGTTGCAGTACTATTCATCGAATTATGTAATACTATGTTATAAAATATTATATATTGTGAATATCCATTATTTTAGTATTCAACTCCCACACTTTCAAAATAATTGGAAGGTCTATGATCTATATAGTACTTTGTCAAACTTTTTGTTTCATATATATATTATTACATTTTTAGTTTAGTGGTTCAACGCGTTATCATTTATCAACACAAGTTGTACTCTCTCATCAAAAATAATGGTCGGTATTCATTGACTTTTTTGGTCTTCAATGTATTTATCAGATATTTTTTTCAATATAAAATTAATTATTTGTGCAATTATGATTTGTTTGGTTTAGATGTCATAATCTTTGTTATTTGGAGTTTCTTTTCACAAATTGTTGGAAGGTTTGAAAAATAAGTGTTCATGGAAAATGTGGTCGGTTTTCATCCACCATGATTCATATCATTGTCAAGATATGTTATTATTTGTTATATTTAAAATGTTCTGTTTGAAAATTAAATTCACTTTTTCATGCATTATTAAGTGGCAAGACTTTTAAGGCGCAAGGCCGCAAGGGTGAGTCGGATTGTACTTTGACTTATTACTTCATTGATTAGTGGATATAATCATATCGTATCCAGAAGATAAGATTAGGGATGGCAATAGGACGGGCGGATGCGGGACGGATTGCAGGTATATGTGATTTTATGTGGATTCAAATTTAATTTTAAAATTTTACATGTTATAACAGTGATAGAGATTATTTATTAAGATAATTTCTATAAATTTACTAAAATATTCAAGATAGTTATTGAAAATGGTTCAGTAAAAAATAATATAATCTCTTACATGTTTTCCAATTGACTTCTAAAAAATAAATGTTTAAGTCATTGTCCTAAGGGAAAAGGGTCAAATATGCCCCTAAACTATTCGAAAAGGACTAGATATACCCCTCGTTTAAAGTTTGGCTCACTCGTGCCCTCGCCGTCCAACTTTTCTTCTAGATATGCCCTTATGGGTGTTAAATGCCAAATGGAATTGCCACGTCATTTTTACATTACCACGTGACATTTATATTAAAGGGAAAATGGTCAAATATACCCCTAAACTATTCGAAAAGGTCTAGATATACCCCCCTTTTAAATAAACTACCCGACCCATTTTCAACAAAAAAAAATTGGTAAATTCCGAAAATGAGTAATGGACTAATAAAAAATAGGAAAAATATGAAAAAAAAAAATTAACGCCAAAAATTCGCAAATAAATATAGTAACCTTAAATTCAACAATTTCAACAATTTTTTTAAATTTTTATTTTTTTTCGATAAATCACGAAAATGAGTAATTGATTAATAAAAAATATGAAAAATATGAAAATGACTTTATGCTGAATTTTTAGGTTATATTTTTCATATTTTTTATTAATCAATTACTCATTTTCGTGATTTATCGAAAAAAAATAAAAATTTAAGGTTATTATATTTATTTGCGAATTTTTGGCGTTAATTTTTTTTTTCATATTTTTCCTATTTTTTATTAGTCAATTACTCATTTTCGGGATTTACCAAAAATTTGTTGAAAACGGGTCGGGTAGTTTATTTAAAAGGGGGGCATATCTAGACCTTTTCGAATAGTTTAGGGGTATATTTGACCCTTTTCCCTTTAATATAAATATCACGTGGTAATGTAAAAATGACGTGGCAATTCCATTTGGCATTTAACGCCCATAAGGGCATATCTAGACGAAAAGTTGGAAGGCGAGGGCACGAGTGAGCCAAACTTTAAACGGGGTATATCTAGTCCTTTTCAAATAGTTTAGGGGCATATTTGACCCTTTTCCCTTAAATTAATACAACTAAATAAAAAAAAAAAAATTATTTTTATGAATTTTATTTTTAGTATATCAAACTTAACTAGAAAAAAGAAAATATTAAAAAAGTTATGCGGTACGGATTTATGTGAAGCGGAATGAAAATGAAAAAGTTGTTATATAAGGTGGGGCGAATTAAAAATTTTGTGAATTAAGATCAACCCGCCGCAACCTCGCACCACCCATTGCCATCCGTAGATAAGATATCAAGTTAGAATTCTAATGTATTATGATAATAAAATGTTGGGATGGATCTCAACGAACAATATGCCTTAGTATTAAAATAAGATGCTGCATTCATGTCCCAATGCATTATGATCTATCTATTGATGATGTAATGATGACTACGATAAAAGAATATACTTTTGGTTAAAAGTGATGAAATCCTTTCAATTGATTTGTTCAATTCTCATATGTGAACTGGTAGCAGTGAAAGATGATACGTAGTTGACTATATGAATATAGGCCCATGGTAAAATGTTTATTATGATCAACATTGGGATAATTAAAAGAAAGAAAATTATGAGTTCATAATAAAATGATCTTTCAAAACTTAGAAAATATTTTTTGTCATCAAAGTAATATGAGAGGTCATTGGGCATGCGGTAATTGTGTCATGCAACCTAATAATTTGGCAAGTTTAAAATGATGTTGATTGTTGAGGTGGGTCATGTAAATATGTCAAATATCAAGGTATGGACAATGAGCTCCTAATAAAAATAATTGAGATGTGATGTTGAATCACCATGGTGTGCTTATACACCTAGAATGGATCAAATGATAAGATGGTAAAAAATAGAGAGATCATATTCTTCCTTTATAGGGAGAGAAAAAAGAATGAATACAATATAAATGTAGGACCAAAAATAATAGTAAAAAGTATATGAACCACAAAAAGGTTACTACTACATTATATATATATTTTTTAAAACAGAGAAAAAGAACTCCATCTTCACTCAAAGTAGAAAACTTGCTCATCTCAAATTGTTGATTTCTTGATCTTGTGTCGGTAAAACGCCTTCTTCTTCTTGCTTGAAGAGTTCTTGATTGTCAGCACAACCTTTCCTGTTTCAGTGTTCTTGAATGTGTTGCGAATTGTCGAGCTCACCTTCTTGTCCTTCTGAATGATAATAGTGTAAGAAGTCTCATCCTCTGGCACAAATTCCTCCTTATAGCTCACTTCTCCACCCACAATCGTAACATCCCAGATAAATGTACTTTCCACCTGACATAAATTTTAACACAAACATTCAAAATCTCCGCGTAATATCAAATCTCTCAATATATCCAAGGTTACTACTTAATACTTACATCTACTGCAGGTATTTCAATAGTTTCAGTTGATCCAGCTTTAAGGAGAATCTCCGAAGCTTCACAGTCGGAGACTGAAAACTCAAACTCATTCTCCCTCTTGAGTCCACCATATTGAATAGGGATTTCATGGATTGGAATGTACCTAACTCAAGCCAAATAGTTAAACATTTAGCCCCCAATAGACATTAAAGTTCAGGGACTATAACTGGATTTATGTTTGAAACTTACTTGAGCAAGGTCTCAGTGACCTTAGCAGGGCGAGCAAATACGAATTTGCTTTTGGTTCTTTGCGTTAGGAAAGGCGACAGCAGAGAATGGACGGCATAATACCAAAATGGAACATTGATGAATATCTGAAAAACAAACAGGTGAAATGATCAGATAATTCAAGTAAGATGTACTTCATAGAGCTATGCTATTACACTCACATTTTTGGCAACAAATTCAGGATAGTTATCCTGAAGAAGATCAACGGCTTGTTTGGTAGCAACCCGGACTTCTTTCTTAGACGGTCCAGGGGAGTTCTTCAGATCATTTATCTGAAGCAGTGAACTAACACCTCCAGCCTTGAAATCAAGCTGCTGAATACCCTTCTCCATTAACTGAACTCTCCACCTCAAGAACTGGTTCCGTTTCTCCTCCGTCCCAAAAGTCTTGTTATAAATCTCTTCATCATCCAAAACCCCAAAAATGTTGTAACAAATAGGGTGTCCTTGGTTATCAACCCCACTCATGTAAGCAGCTGGAGCAAGATCTGAGCCCAAATCTTCCTCCAAGATAGATTGGATGTTAAAATCCTTCCTCCATTGGAGTGTTTTCTTGAGCATTTTGAAAGATTCATTCACTTTGTAATCCCTTGCTCTCAAGAATTTCAATAGAACCACATTGGTTTTCTCATCCCCTTTGCTAGGCAAAAGGGGTACACCCCAAATAGAAATCTCTCTATCCACTTCAACAACATCCAAATCACCCTCCTTCTCCTCTTCTTTCCCCTCTACCGTATCGCGATTTTCCTCATTCTTTCCCTCTTCCTCGGGAGCCTTGTTGGTCTCTTCTTTTTTGAAGAGAGTGTTTCCAAGAATGGCCTCCTCAACTATAGATTTCAGCTCATTCAATGCCTTTCTTTCATTCTCTTTGAGATCAGAGAGGAAGTTGCTCTCTTCTCTATAAGAAGAGCTCTTTTCAATTGTATTAGGCTTGGATTCCTCTTCTTCATCTTTTTTTACTTTCTCATTCACCTCAACCTCCTCTACAACCTTGTTAGCAGCCACTAATTCCTCTTGTGGAACAAATACTTCAGCTACTTGAGTTGCCTCACATTGCACCTCAACAGTCATGTTGATTGATAAATAACACAAGTAATGAATCTTGGCAATCACCTCCCTAAACAGCTGAAAAATCAAGTACAACAAAATTTGAGTCCCTAATTCAGTGCCCTAAATAGCCAAAAGATATGATTTATTTCAAATTAACAATAAAGTGAAACTAAGAGCCTTTTTGGATTGGCTTATTCAAGTGTATGGTTAGTTTCAAAAAAAAAACCTTATAAGCATTACATTTTAAGCTAGAATGATAAAAATAAGCCAAAAGCCAATCCAATAGGATCTAAATTGAAATTAAGGTGTAGTTGAAAAATGTGAAAAAAAATACTTGAAATAATGGATTTTCAGTGACAAGGTAGCTGAATCTTTGCCAATCTCCCCAACTAAAACCTCTACAAACAACAACAGCATACTCTTTGTAATCCTACCGGGTCTCATGTCTGGGAATGTTATGTTTACCCTCACAAACTTACCCTGGCTTTGAGAAGGAAGGTATAGTTATTGTTTATTGTTTCCGATTAACTAAAACCTATACAAACAACAACAACACCTCGTGTAATCCCACAAGTTGAGTCTGATAAAACTATCAACAAAAACATCTACCGTATAAAGAAAATGTCACAAATTTAATTTCATTTTAGAAGCACAACATTAAAACTCATTCAAAAAAATAACCAAAAAAGGAATAGTTATTAGAAAATCACCTTTTGGACTTGAATGAGGTTGCTTTGCTGTGTCAAATTGTGTTTGAGATTGAGAAATGAAAGAGAGGTTTTTATAACGGTAATATAATTTGTTCGAAAAATGTGTATGGGGCCCAAAACGGTCAAATTTAATGTTTAGTGTGACACCGCACCGCAGGACGCATGGCATGTTAGAGCCGTTGGGGGATTCGTTTCCAAAAGTCTGTAATACAGCAAACTTTCCTTGTCTTTTTAATCATTTCTCTTTTCAGGTCCCACATACTACACATTTTATTCGTGAACCCTTCATTATTTAATTCCCTCCATAATTTCCTCCGTTTTATTTTACTTGATTCAGATTAACTTGACGAAAACCTTAACATGAGTTTTTATTGATGATATTTTGAAATTTTTATTACTTACTTTATGTAGTTATTTAATATTAAAAGTTACGATATGAAAAAAAAAGTAATAAAACATTCTTGATTTGCTAAAATGGTAAGTAAAAAAAAAAAAATTATAGTATAAAGGCCATGTAAATGAAATGGATGGGGTATTTATTTTTTTCACTTTATTTGAAATTTATGGAGTTAAGAATAAAACTTGTGTTTGGTTATACAATTTGCAAAGGATATTTGAAATGTTCATGATTAAATGTACATAAATATAATTTCAAAAGTAAAAAGTGAGTTGAGAGGACTTAGATTAAGGTAAAAGTTTAGTTGGTAACTATGTGTGTTGTCATATTGTCTATTTCATATTAGTAGTCGTAGTATTACTCTTGTAGTTTTTTTATCTTCAATTTCTATCAATGCTTGTCGTTTTCTTGTACCGCTATTATCGTATTATTTCATTGTAGTTTTTGTTTCGTTGTTGTTGACTGTTTTTATTATTATTTGTTGTTTCTTAACTTATACTTATGTTACTCCTTTTTGGGACTACTTTAGACTTCTTTTTGAAAATCGGAGAATTTATTGGAAACAATTTATCTACCTTTGAAATAGAGATAAGATCTGCGTATAATCTACCTTTCTGAGACGTTGTTGTTCTATTTTGGACTATTACATAGTCCAATGTGCTCTAATTTCCTGAGGACATCCCATGCTACCTATTAATCCCCTATTAGACAGCAATCACATATTGAACTGTTGGTCATCAATCATAGTTTCACAAATTTGTATTGAGTTGGCAATTGGAGTAAAGAACATATATTTGACTCTGTTTTGTTGTTTGTATCTGTTAATTTGGTTTAAACGTTACTTAATTAATCTCTCTTTTCTTGTCTTTTTCCTTAATTGACATTGATGAACAACATATATTCACGTGGTGCTCGACAGCACCTCCTTTAAACAAATAGCCCATAGTCAAAGCTTTGATTTTTTAATTATTATTAATATCATTATTTCATTTCTGTTTTTCTCCCCTATTTAAAATAATAATTTAAATCTTCTGATTAGCCTTAAAAAAAAGGAACTTGTTTTACTATTCTGACAGTTTCAACTTTATCAGAACTTGATTTATATTAATAAAATCTCATTGTTTATTAAACCATTATAAATGTCCTTAAAACATAATTGAGGCAACTAGGCAAATTATGCTTACAGTATTAAAACAGCTAGTGGTCTTATTTTTTCTCAAAAGTGGTAACAAAACAAAGATAAGCGACGTTGATAGCCGATTATTTAAGTTAATAAAGTGATTATTCAAGCATTCAACTTATTTCATTTTTTGAGACAAGACATCTGATAAGATATTTTCTTCTATTCAATTCGTAAGTAGTCATACGAGATCATTATGGGTTACACCTCTAGCTATTAGTATTTCTTTAGGAGTTAAGAGGCATACACTAACATTATTTAAAACAAATAATAAATGAAAATATCAAATATACATTATAAGAAATTCAATCTCCTAAACCTGTGGCCAAGCCAATTCCATTTCATTCCTCCAAGCATCTTTATAACAACGTACCTTGTATGGTGAATATGTTATGTCCCAAGAACCTTCATTCCAAGTAAACAATGAAAACCTTTCATCTACCAACCTGTCACCTATTTAAGCACATTATTTGAGAAATCCAAGTCCAAGATGATCTAGAGGAGAATATGAAACTTTTGAAAAGGGAAATCTAGGTGTCGACAAAAATTGCTTCACGTTCTCATCTTGAGTAATGTTACTTACAGATGCATAAGTCTCGAGGAGAGGGTCAAGTACTGTTGGAAAGATATCTGTGTATCAAAAAACTTTAGTAGGTTGTTATCGTGAATTTTTTTAAGAAAGGGAGAAAGAAGTAAAGAGCAAAAAGAAAGGAAAGACTCAACAATGTCGAACTTGGAATCTGTAACACATACCTCTTAAGACTAAAAACTTTGTGGATTAGTTCAAATTCTGCATTTCATATGGCACGGCACATTCAATCGCTTCTTTCAGAGCTTCTCTTCCCAGATTTACAAGTACCTACAACAATTTTACAGAAGGCTTTAAATTTAGTTTCCCCAATAGAAGCAGATGCATGAGCAAATGAATAGAACAGGTTTTGATTTCAGTGGATTGCCAACATCATAACAGAAATTCGACAGCATGTTCCTTAACAATATCTAAACTTAGAAACCAATTCAGGACAAAGAAGCAAACCCCATAAAAATAATAGTAACAAATACAATGATAAACTTCAGGGAACTTCTCCAACATTCTAATTACAGTGCCATAATTCCTGATGTGCACCAGATTGAATAAGGGAAGCATTGCTTGAATATCCAAGGTGCACATGAAATCCCTTATAAACTAAACACTGGACTTGGACAAATATCAGGTCATCCACAAAGCGAACAATAAAGGACCACATAGTTTTAGGGGGATGTCAACTGCATTTCCTGCTACTTATTTTAATTTTTTTAAATTCTTCTTAGAAAAAAATTAATCTCTATCTGTACATTGATATATCTACCAGATGAGTAAGATCTGCAAGCATGTTCTTAGTACATGATCAGTGCCTCCAATGTCCTTTCAATTCCTTTTAGTTGTCAAAGTTAACTCTGATGCTCAAATACTCAGAAGGCTGCCAGATAACTTCTTGATTAAAACCAAAAAACGGCTAACCAGATTACTAGCCCACTGCCCACTGGTAATGGGAATTGAACCCTATATACCTGAGCTATCGCCTAAAGAATTAAATGTCTGATCATGCCCTGAGTTGATGACCATGCATGCTATCAATTCTGAGCTTTAGCTTTATGAAAAACCCTTCTTTGGTCACAAGTACAGATACAGTAATGTTGGGAGATAAATTGGCCAATGTTTGACATTAATGGTGGGAGAAAGAAATATGAAGGCAACATCCTAAAAGGAAAAAGAAAATAAAAAGATTTTCACCTCATTCGCATCTTTATAAATGCTTAACTCATCCTTTTTAGGCCAACATACTTGCCAACACCTGCAAATCAAGCAAAGTCAACCAATTGTAATTACTCTCTGACCCGATGGTGAAGTAATAAGGCTTTGGGTTGCATGATGGATTGAACAAATGAGAGTTACAAGTAGAAGCATCTGCGTATTGCAGCCAACTAAGATAAATACCAATGTACAGACACAGAATTATATTAGGTCCGAGCATGCTGAAAGGCTGTGATTCTCATGCACAGAAAGAAAAAAAGAAAAAAGGCATGTCTTCTCACAACTGTCAAAAACACAAAATACACTAAACTAGTGATAAAAAGGTACAACAATCCAGTATATTCATTTGAATGTACATTAATCTGCATTCTTACCCGATGCAAATTTGACTCCACCTCCCAAAAGGTGACATTGTTTAGTATTCCACTTGCTACATCAATATATAAGTCTCTCCATATCTCTTGGGAACTCTCTTAGAGCCAAGATTAAGTGAATACAGAAAAGATAAAAGTTTGGGGTTATGAAAAGTCAAAAGAACCCAAATTTTTCATGATGGACTTATGTTTTGTCATTTGACTAATTTGAAGAGCAACTTAGCGGCTACATCAAGCAAGTGTTTCTTTTTATTTAGTTCTCATCTAAAATTTGTAACCATAGTCTTTAATGATGACAATGGTTATTACCAAACAGCCATGCCTTGCATAATTTAGCTGCATTGACAGAAAGATGCATGCAATTGCAAACCACTAAAAGAACTTCGACCGGGGGGGGGGGGGGGGGGCAAAGCTTTGTTGAATTTTGAACTCTAAGAAGATAAGTTCAAACAAGAAACTACAACCTTTCTCATAACTCCATTAGAATTTGTTAGTCTTTCTCTAAGTATGACGATGAAAAATGCTTCTAGGCATTGGAGAAATGGAGATAAGTTAATCCAAAGTATATGAAAACTTATTTACA